GATTTTTTGCTTTCTGTCTCTCGGTCTTTCTGGTGAACACCCACACCATATAGCAAAAATCTCACAAAACCCTCCAAGAAACTCAATTGTACAGGGACCAGCAGATGGAGTAATGGTTATGTTGCTGGACTCCCACATAGTCAACCACGGTTAAAGCTAATTCCAGGCACTTGTGTGTCCATGCCCAAAATCCTAAAAGGAGAAGGGAAGAAAAAGGATTGTGACATGACCATTCCCAGAAGGGTGATTTCTTGCTTTCTATCTGTTTCTCTCTATCTCTCTGGCAAGCACATGTGCCCTATAGCAAAAGTCTCTCTATAAACAAGACAAAAAACCCAATCGTACAAAAATCAAATAATCTAATTAGGTAATGGGGTAAGGCATGAGGAGATATTTTACCAAAGGCTACACAGATGGCATAAAAATATGTTTTACATTTCCAGACATTGGAGAATTGTGAATTAAGACCATGATGGGATATTGCTACATATTTATCAAAGTAGCTAAAATAAAAAAATAATGATAGTACCAACTGCTGGTAAGGATGCAGACATCCTAGTGGTGGACATTGAAAATGGTACAGCCATTCTAAAAAACAGTTTGGAAGTTTCTTAAAAAGAAAATGTTTGTTTACTATATGATCTAGCAGTTGCACTCCTCGTTATTTATCCCAGATAAATGAAAACTTAGGTCTGTGTGAAAGATCTGTATGTGAATGTTTGTAGCAGCTTTCAATAATGCAGGACTGGAAACAACCCAAATGTCCTTCAAAAGCTGACAGTTAAACTAATGTACATATTTGTACCATTGAACACTACTCAGCAATAAAAAGAAACAAACTATTCTTTTAACATACAATATTTGTACATATTGTACGGCTATAATGCGATTTTTAAAAAATAATTACTTTATTTAAATTTATTTATTATTATCATTATTATTTTCCAGTTTGATCAGAGAGAGACAGAGAGAGAGAGAGAGGAAGTGAGAAAGCAAGCCACCAGGTCTGAGACTTGAACCATGGTCGGCCATGTGGGAGTCCAGCGCCTTTAACCACCACGCCACTTGCCAGCCCCTATAATGTGATTTTTAAAATAACTATTTTATTTAACTTTATTTATTTATTTATTTATTTTAATTTGACCAGAGAGAGAGAGAGGGAAAGTGAGAAAGCTGCCAGGTTTGGGATCCAAGCCATCGTTGACCATATGGGAGTCCAGTGCCTTAACCACATCACCTGCTGGCCTCGGTACAATGTTGTTTCTGTTAATCAACATCCCTCTATCCTCCTTCCCAATCTTTTCTACCCTCTAGTAGTCATTCTTCATTCTTCTGTTTCCATAAAGTCTTTTTTTTTTTTCAATTTCCACAAAAATAGGAGAGAATACATGAGGCATTTCTCTTTTCACGCCTGGCTTATTTTATTTAACATACAGCCCTCCAGACTTGCCCATCTAACCTCAAATGACAAGATTTGATCCTTTTTAATAATCGCATAGTATTCTTTGGAACAAACTATAGACACACGCAGATGGCTCTGAAGGACTTATGCCAAATGCTGAATTGAAAAAAAGGCAAAATCAAAAACCACATACAGTATGATTCTATTTAGATCACATACTAGAAATTTTAAAAAAATAAGACTTAGCAATCAAATTGATGAATGCCACAGGCTTGGGATCTTTGGGAGTAGGAGTGTAGTTCTGACTCTTAAAGGGGCTAGCACAGGGGGCATTTGTGGTGCTGAATAGTTCTGTATCCTGACTTTGTTGGTGGCTACACAAATCTACGTATGTGATAAAATGGTGGCAATCTACTCACATATGATACCAAGTCCATTTCTATTTTGATACTGTACTACAGATATTTGAGATGTAGTCCTTAGGGAAACAGGCTGACGGGTACATGGGACTTCTCTGCACTATATCATCTTTGCAACTTCTAGTAAACGTGTAATTATCTAAAAGCAGTTAAAAATTAAAAAAAGTTTTCATTCAGGTAAGATGGTACTTTTTCAGAAAAGGTTTAGAAAAAGAGATGTCCAAATTTCTTGGCTCTGCACTATTTTTAATTGTTACAACTAAGCAAACTTTGGTTTTGTTTACATATCACATGGGGAGGACCAAGTCAAGACAAAATATAAGATAATGTGATGAATCAAAAACAATTCCTTTCTTATGGAGGCATCAACTGAAACAAGTTAGAGATGTAGAAAACACCCTATGTTAAGCTACAACATGAAAGCTCCCTCTAGAAATGAATTTATGGGTGGGCCGTGGCCAGGTGGTTAAGGGAGCTGTATCTCACACGGCCCACCACACTGCTCCAATCCCGACCCCAGTGGCTTGAAAAAAGCACTGTGTGTCTGTACGTGTGTATCTGTGTTTGTGTGCATGTACGTGTGAGCGTGCAATCCAAATCCTAATAGGAAGGAGAAATGGAGGAAAGGATTGGGAAGGGAGCTTGCCCCACTGAGTGGATGTTTTCTCCCTTTCCTTTTGTTTATGTCTCTCCCTGACTAGCTCATGAGACCTCTGCCTGGAGGAGTCCGACCCGGCGAGGCCCCAGGATCTGTCTGAGCCCCCCGACCTTTCACGCGAGTTTTGTATGCTGGAGGCCCAGTTATCAGTGGGACATCTTCCTTTTTCCCAGAATGTCTAGATCACAGGAGCCATGGAGCTGTCTGTCTCTTGAAGAAGGGCTGTTCACGCGAGTTTTGTATGCTGGAGGCCCAGTTATCAGTGGGACATCTTCCTTTTTCCCAGAATGTCTAGATCACAGGAGCCATGGAGCTGTCTGTCTCTTGAAGAAGGGCTGGTCACGCGCGTTTTGTG